CAGAAAAAAAGAACCTTCAATTGCAGGGACATTTCTTGCCTTTCATGGTGCTCCCGTAAATTCAGCGTTTTTTAGGAATCAGGGATGAAAGTGGTAAACTGAGAGTAGCAAAAAACCATAGTACCGGTTAGTCATTGGCACGGACGGGATATCGTACAAAATTGTGTACTTTGAGCTCAACTTATCTTTAAAAATTTTCTATAAATTGAAGCTGCAAACAGAAATGGGATTCCAATTATCATCGCTCAAAGGGAACTTAAGAGCAGCATTAATTTTAACCTCAGAAAAACAGTGAAAACTGATAAGATGTTTGCTTCGATCCCATTGTGACAATAAAGACAATAAGCAGGGCAAATATACGATAAAGAATAAAAGAAATTACCGGCAATTGGAGAAAAGAAAAGTGCTACTAGGAAGACTGGTGCGACAATATAAAGCTGAGTATCTACCGCCAAATACCATGTTATTGGATAACACTCCTGCAAAGAGTTCTCATAAAAAGTATGATTTAGAAATCTGGTATTCTCTAAAAATATAATATGCATACCTTAGTTACGCTATACAAGTTATTGATGTATAGCATATTACGCCACCAATACTTCTCGCAAACTTCAACAAATTCGTCGGTTGAGTTGAGAAAGCCCTCTACAGATACACTCCATGGACCATTAGTGAATGGAAGCATAACAACAAAAAACCAAATGAATAACATTATAGCTGGAGTTAATCTAAATTGCGATAAAAATCTTGTTTTTTAAGAGTTTTACTGTAATAATTAAGTAAATCCTACCTCAAATATCGATGCACATAGTACATTAACCACGTTAACGGATTTTTTACGTATCTTAATGCTGGCTTTGTCTTGAAGAATACGTAGCTGACGAGAGTCCCAGATAATAAAAAGTATGTGTCCACCGAAAGGAATGCATTTATGATGGTTGTAGAAAGAAAAGGATTCCACATTGTTAGAACCGGAAGCATCGCATCTGTAGCATGTAAACTCTTAACTCTTGAATATATATATCCAGCAAACCACTTACCGGCAGATATGCTCTGTCCCAAGGAATGTCCCGCTGCTACCCAAGTCATAGAAAGAAAACGAATTGCAGCTAATGATCTTAATGTTCCTTTTTTAGGAGGGTTTACGTCCATTAGGATGGATGCATTTGTGTAGAAAGAGAAGGCAAGAAATATGCGCATTACTGAAAATATTGATTAAATGGATCGATTTTCCGTTTGAAAATATCATCGCTTCACACAACATATCCTCGATATTCCCATTAGATATCATTGAAATATGCTCTTAGGGTATAATGTGGATAGACAATGAGAGCGTGAATTAGAGCTTTAGGGAACCGAATATTTTTAGGTCTCGTGAGCGACATCGCATTACTGCGAAAGAATTTGATATAATCAGAGATTGCTCAAGCTCATTGACCACTATCTGCAAGTTGGCCCTTCCATCGTCTATATACCATAATGCTACCATAGAGTTCTATTCTGCCCAATGGTAACACATTTGTAATCAACATAACGGTCAGATAACCCTCCTACGTAGATTAGTCAGTTTTGGCCAAGATTTGAGATTTTCAGTAAAAGGCTCGAGATTCGAGGTTTCCAGAATGAGCAGGTCGCAGAATCTTTGGTATGGTCACCTGGCATCCTAGTTCAATGGCGTCCTATCTGGCAAAATTTGTTT